ATATATGACTAAAATAAATATCCAGATCGGAATTTTTTTTACTAGAGGTGGGAACTTGGGTTAAATATTAAATGATCTTGGAGGAGTGAAACAAAAATACAAATAAAGTTTAGGTACAATTAACAACATGAGAAATCTACATGTATCTTGACTACAGGGATATGAATATTCAAGCAAATGTTATCTGGCAATTGTCTCCCCCATGTTACAAAGGTGTTCTTTAATTTATGTCAGTAAAGAAACCTAGAGTTGTTCCTTGAGGTTGGCCAGAGAGATTGTTCTAAACTCACCTCTAATTACTTTTTAATTTGACATCTTGATTTCCCTAAAGATGTTTCTAATGCAGTCTTCTATACTCAGCAGATATCAATAATAATGTGATATCCAATGTCTGTTGAAATGTATTTTATCAGTTGCCTACATGATTCAAAGAGAGGATCCTTAGGAACACCCAGTGAAGGAAATCATAAAACATGCTATGAGGTTAAACATTTATTGAACCATTTGTCATAGTCTGACTCATCAGTTGGCTTGGCTACTTTGTTCTACCAGGAAATGTGGGTAGGCAAAGATGGCCCTACAAGTTTGGATATTTGGCAATGTCTATTTCCCTCATTGTGTGGTATCTGGAAGTGGCAGTAACAGTCAGATCAGGTAAGAGTAGCACCTGTCTCCCTTTGATATCGTAGCCTTTGTGCAGGCTGTGCATATTGAGACCCTTCTCTGCAGAAATATAGTTCTCAAGTAGGACTACATGGTCAGCCTCCTTCCATATTTGGCAGAAGTTGGTTTTTCAGTTGTAGACAGCTATATATTAGAATTCCTCAGTCCTTGATACAGCCAGTGTTACAGCTTCTGATTCCAAGATATCTGAAACCATCAGCCAGGGTTTTATAGCTCTCTGAAATTTTCAGGGACCAGGGCCTTAAATTTCTTTTCTCTAACCTAAGTTTTCTATCCTTTTCCAACCTCAGTACTTCATCTTCTTTGTGTCTACTACATTAATTGCTCTCTCTGGGTGCTTAGCTGCCTCCAATTTAGCTGTGAAGGCACAGGCTGCCCTGGGACTTGTGTAGCTTGCTATGCTGTCCACTTATCTGTTATTGCCATCACTGCTCTGCTGTATCTTCTTTGGATCTAAAGATTAAGCTGGGACTGCTGACCCTAGGCAAGAATAAAAAACCTAAGAGAAACCTTTTGTGTGGCCTAATGTGTCAATGGCAATGGAAGAAACATAGGATGGAGTGGCCCTGTCCATCCTAACAGAAACTTAGAAGCTTGTTAATAAAGCCAGAAAATTACAAAGATGGTAAATCAATAACATGCATTTCACATGAAAATGAACATTTATGTTTATATCAATAACAACAAACTTCACAGTCAAATGGAGGCTCATGTTTTCAATAATCTTAGTCAACAGTCCTAGGAGAGTTTCTACTATGCCATCAGGAAACAAACCTGTTCTAGTCCAGATAGAAACTAATTGAGTCATGTCAAAAGCAAGCATGCATTAGTAACAAGTCTGGCACATACTTGTATTAATTATTTTTCTGATAGACATGACAAAGTACATAAAATAAGAAACTTCAGAAATGGGATGTATGTTGGCTCAGAGTTTGAAGGCCTAGAGTCTTCATGTTGGCGAAGGCCTGGGGTCAGAGTGCGTACCATCTTGTCACATTGCACCTGTAGTTAGGTGACAGAGATTTATGGATGCTAGTGCTCAGCTCATTGTCTTTTTTCATGTTTTATCCACTCTAGTATTCTACAACAACCAAGTATGGTGAAGCAGATGCAGGATGTGTGCTTCCTCCTCAATTAAACATCTTGGGAAATGGCTTCACAAGCCTGCTGAGAACTGTGCCTTCTAAGAGATTCTAAGTCCCATCAGGTTAACAATGACAATTTCACCCATGTCCACTAACCCCTGAAACACATCATTTTAAAACATTAAATCCCACCACTAGTTCTCAAATCTGCACAGCCATCTTGTAACACTAACTGCAGTCAGTTTTAGTCATTCCAACTTCAAAAGTCCCCATAATTTTTAACAGTCACAGCTCTATTCAAGATCCAAATCTCTTTCTACTCATATGAGATGTAGGACTATCTCTTAAGTCTCTAAGAATATACACACAAACAGCTGTCTATCTCCAGTATACAATATTAAGGAGTAAACATTCACTACCCAAAAAAGAAGGAATAAGGATATAGAAAAAACAACTAACAACAACAACAAATGAAATCAGAAAACAAAAACAAAAACCAAACAACCAAGATGTAAAGCTTGGGGCAAACGGCAAGTCCTATAGCTTCATGACTAGTTTGTGAAGCTCTTGATGGCACGACCTACATGTCAAAGCTTTGAAAGATAGTTGCACATAGCCTTTCTCCCACAGCGGCTTTACTCTATGCCTATCTCTGGCAAATGTCTCAGAATCCTGGCATTCCGAACATCTTTGGAAGTCCCCTGAATATTAAACTCATATTAATAGTTACACTCAACAGTTTCTTCAGGTCTCCTGCTAGGGAATGTATCTTGTCACACATTCCCTGGCCTCCATGCCACTCTAGGACCTTAGTGTGTGACTTTTTGACACTGCATGGTTTGCATTGTTCATGACTGCCAGACCAGCACCCAAGTGGATGATATTGCTTAATTCTGCTCCCAGATATTCTTGCTGCCTTTTACCATTTTTAGTAGTGCTCTCTAGGTATCTAGAAGTAAACATGGGGGAAACACCGCTTCCCTCTGTAATTGTTTTTAGGTGGCCTCAGTTAGTAACATGAGCACTTTAGTTCCTTCTTTCCAATTAATTTACAAGCCAGAGCATTCTTGAATGAATCTTACCCTTAAGGAACATTTATTGTTTCCTTAGAACAAAGTTTAATGTTTCATAATAATTCTACAATCTATGTATTTAACTTTCACAGCTTTTATTTTCTCTGCTATTCTACTCTGTCCACCATCACAATTCCTCCATTCCATATGCTATTCAGGTCAAGTAGTCATCGCCCTTCATTAAGGAAGCCTCTCCTTTCTACAGAAGGAGACTTTTACAGAAGGGCATAACCAACCGCAATGTAGAGTGTACATGTATTAGTTCAAAATAATTCCCACACCAAAGGATCATGGAATGTTTCAGAAGAGGGGACAGCAAGATTGTAAGAGCCAGATAGATGATCTGGGAGTTTTCTCTGAGAAATGTTTCCTACTAAGATCAGAAACTACACCCATAAAGCTTCATCAACAAGACTGACAAAATATGAGCTAAATAAGAACAACAGAAATAGACAAGCTAAAGTGGAAGACAGAGAGGCCTCAACAGGAAACTAGGGAATGCAGAGAGTGGAAGAAATAGAAACAACACACCAATTGGACATCCAGTACCAAATCGTCAGCCCTGAAAAGCCCAATACCAGTAACAGTATACAGACTGAGGATGTTATATTTGGGAAGTCTAACAGTGAATAACAGTGAAGTCTTAGAAAATGGAACAGGGCCGGGTGTTGGTGGCACACGCCTTTAATCCCAGCACTCGGGAGGCAGAGGCAGGTGGATATCTGTAAGTTCGAGCCCAGCCTGGTCTCCAGAGCAAGTGCCAGGATAGGCTCCAAAGCTACACAGAGAAACCCTGTCTCGAAAAACCAAAAATAAATAAATACATAAATAAATAAATAAATAAATAAATAAATAAATAAATAAAAAGAAAATGAAACAGGAGGGAAAGCAGATGCCAGCATGGGCCAGGGCCTGCATGTTAACGTGGCATGTCACACTCCTTTCTTGGTGGTAAATTCATTCCTAGGTTTTTCCTTTACATTTTACCATTCCTAGTGTAGGAAAGGCTGTAATGTTCTGTGTCAGAGGATTGAGTAGGAGATGGTGGTTAATAGAAAGACTCATTTTCCATTTCTGGGGGTAAAATGCTGAAAACGCTGCTTCTGAATGAGGCGCCAAGTGTTCAAATTGTTTGCCCACTTGGAAACTGGAAAATAAGGTTTCCAAGTTAGATCAGTCACATGTTTTATTTGGTACAAAGCAATAGCAGTGTTTCAATATTCAGTCTGATCAAATAGACCAGAAGTGCTCCCAGTGAATCACTCAGCAACACCAGGGTGATTGTATTTATCACAGTAAGTCTAATGTTCACTCACATCAGCTTTGAGAAGTGAACTTTGATATTCTCTGAATATCAATCTGACTGCCTCTGAGGAGGCAGAAGGTAATGAGAAACCATCAACCTCAATTTTCAGATTGAGCAATCTGGATGGGTGCCTCATCTGGACAAATAGTAACAGTTCTCTTGTCTTTACAATCTTTTAGTACATAAGCACCAGCCAGACACCAAAATGTCTGTCAAATTGAGATGATCATCCAGCAAGATTGCAGTGAACAAAGATGTAGAACAGTGTTGGGAAAAAAAGTTTTGACAAATTTTCTTTTTCATTTTTAATAAGAATTGTACCTGAAAAGATATATTTCAAGGAGGTATTTCTAATCTTATTGAAGAGAAAAAAAGAATCAGATTAAATACATTGCTGTTTAAGACCAATATTTTTTGTAATTAATTTTTTTTGTTAGTTCAAATTAGGAACAAGCTTGCTTCACATGTCAATCCCTTTTCCTTCTCCTTCTCCCTCCCCTCCCCCCAGCCCCCCCCCCCAACCTCCCACCTGCCCCTGCCCCCCACCCCATCCCCCTACCACTCCCCAGGCAGGGGAGGCCCCCCATAGGGGGTCCCCAAAGTCCACCACATCATTCTGGGCTGGGCCTAAGCCCTCCCCTAAGTGTCCAGGGCAAGACTGCATCCCTTCAAGTGGGATGGGCTCTCAAAGTCCCTTCTTACACCAGGGAAAAATACTAATCCACTACCAGGGTCTCCCTAGAGTTTGGAGGCCTCCTCATTGACATCCATTTTCAGGGGTCTGGATCAGTCCTGTGCTGGCCTCCCAGAAAGCAGTCAGGGGTCCATGTGCTCCCCCTTGTTCAGGCCAGCTGTTTCTGTGGGTTTCACCAACCTGGTACTGTCCCCTTTGATCTTCATTCCTCCCTCTCTGCAACTGGTTTCCAGAGTTCTGTTCAGTGTATATCTGTGGGTGTCTGCCTCTGCTTCCATCAATATTAAACAAGTACTGAATACCTGATTGAAGGTTCTCCTGTCTGGGTGTTTTCCAGGAGAACAGATACATCAGTTTTCACCAGGTATGCAGGAATTAGTATATAAGTGATTACTGTAGAATCCATTATTTGGCTTTTCATTTTTTCCATCTCTTACTTTTCCCTGGATCATCAGGTTTGAGTTAATCTTACCAGAAGTTTAGATGCAACACTTTGATGTGCTTTGTAGATATGTCATTTTGCCAGTGCAGCCTATGAAATTGTTTGTGTTAGTCACTGTGGTGGTTTAAATGACTACCATTCATAGGTTCCTCTGTTGGCAATGTTTGGGTAGGTATAAGATGTGCGATCTTGCTGGAGGAAGCAAGTCACCAGGGGTTGACTTTGAGAGTAAAATGCTCATGTCATTTCCAGTTTGTACTCTTTCTGCTTCATGCCTGAAGTTCAAGATGTGAGCTCTCAGCCTTCAGATTCTGTCACCATATATAGAACAAATGAAGTTTTGAGTAAGAGGAGAGAAAATAATTCTCTTGACTATAAAGGATCAGAATAAATGTAGTTAACTAATAATTAAATAGTATAACAATAACTATTCCAAGCACCAGACTATTCATTTTCCTTTTTGCTTAGCATAGTAAACAGAAATGATGTACATAAAAACCAATAAAGAAATTGTTTAGAAAATTGCGTATGTTTTCAAGGAACAAACATAGTTTCTAGGGAATCTGTTGGTGACATGTAAGCTTTTAGATGACACAAGGAGAATTTGAGATAAAACATAAATCCAATAACCCATGAAAGAACTTGAAAAGTTGGCCATTGAAATTAGCAGGATTATAGGATAATTTAATGTTTTCTCTGACAAATGGTTTGACAACTGGATTAGAAACTAAGATGACTTTATAACTTGTACTATATTCTAGGCCAATTGAAAATAAAGAAAGAATTAATAAAATCAGAAAGAATTTCTAACATTTTTCTCAATTCAGCACATATTTCATGCATATAAACATACAGACATGAACATATGTATGTCTAATGACCATAATTTACAAGCAAAATTTAAAAATAAAGTAACAAAATAGAAAAGTTTTCTACTCCCTATCTAAATACAAGGTGTCATTCTCTCTAATATGTAAGAAATAATACAATATATAACAGAATGACTAAACTGAATAAAATATATGTGTCATTTTAAAACAGAAAGTGCAAAGTAATAGAAAGAACCATGCTTTGTAAACATACAACTAACTTGACCTTACTTTTTGTAAAGTTGCTTTAAAACAATGCTGAATCATTCCACTTTAAAGACTTTCTAATCAGCAAATGATAATCTGTGTGAATTCTGCACCTTTGTAGAAAAAGGCATGCTCATGAATTATTAGCACAATTTAAGTAGATGACAAAACCACAAATGCATATACATTGCCATCAATTCTTCTGGCTGTGAAGATTTATTCTATAGATACACATTCTTGTGTCAAATGATGAAATCAGAAAGTTTCATTATGTTCCATTTTACATATTAGTATGAGAGTAAGAATGCCATTACTTACATGCTGGAGTAATAAGGTAGCTGTGAGAATAAAACCAAGAACGAAGATTCTCCTTACACTGAAATAGAATAATTTATCACATGTATTACAGCACAGAGTCTACTGACCTGCCACTATCACATAAAACAGATAGCATAAAGAATATTCATGTTAATTTCTTTTTTTATCATTTTAAGTCTTTCTGTGAGTCACCCCCCAAAACGTAAGGAAGTTGAGACCTGAAGAAAATGAACATAATTGAGTAAGCCAAGTTAAAGTTACAATGGATATTGTTACTGGGCATGGTGGCAGCACACAACTTTAAACCAAGCACTAGGGAGACAGAGGAAGGAGGATCTCTGTGAGCACTAGGGCAGCCTAGTCTACATAGAGAGTTCCAGACCAGCCAGGACTACACAATGAGACCTTATTTCAAAAAAAAAGAATGTTATTCATTTAGACATGGAAACAGATATTTGTAAACAGAAGCTTCTCTGTTATTAAAAATATCAGTTTATGTAAACAGCAAACAATACTTATAAATGGAGGCATGAATAAGAAAGCTTCCATATATATACATATATATATTGTTATATATATAAAACAATGTATATATATATATATATATATATGTTATATATACTTATATTTTTTCTTAGAGCTAGTTATTCTTGTAAAACACAACATGCCACAAACAAAAATGCTAGTGGTTGCATGTTTTAAAATATAAATGCAGGGTCTGGGGAGGTGGTTCTATAAAAAATTAGTTACTGTATAAGAATGAGTACCTAAGTGTACCTTCTGCATGCATAGTGGGCATCTAAGCACTGGAAAGGCAGATATGGAGGGACCCTGGGGTTTGGTGGCCTGCTGGTCTAGCTGAATAAGTAGTGCTTCTCAGATACAGTAAGAAAACTTCTCAAAAATAATTTGAGGAGAATTTCAGGAATACAACTGACTTGACTTCTGCCCCAAATACACACATACATGTGATCATGAAACCCCACAAATAGGTATACATACAAACATGCATCCACACTCACACACATACACACACAGGAAAAAAATGAGCATGCTTGCCTAGGAGATAGAGAATGTGGTCTTAAGTATTTCCTAGATGGGTTTAAATGAACCAATCATGTTACATACTCCTCAATTTTCTAGATTTCCAGAAAGAGGAAATGTATGGAGCATTTTCAAATTCTCCCTTATCTTTTAAATTTCTTAGGTATAATCAAATAAAAACAATGAGTCTTTGTCTGTGCCTAATGTTAGCTGTAACCATGAGGAAAACTCACACACAAAAACTACAGTAAATGATAACAGCTCCTAATTTCAGATTATCTCATCGAGGTTCTTTGTATAAGAGTTCTTGCTAGAAATCTACTTTGATGTCATTAAGATGTCAAAAAGTCAGTGAAATTTTTGATGTTTAAATTCTGTAAATTTTCCCTCTTTATCAAACTTACAATTCTGTTTTGAAATATGACTTAGTGATGGTTGGAAAGAAAATTTAGGTGCCATAGGTTTTGTTTTAATAGTCAATGTTTTCACTCATACATATTTTATTATGATCTTGCATTGTTAGATCTTTTGTATTGCCTACTTTTGATTTTCTGTCTCATTGGTTGAATGAGTGAAGTGTCATGATGCACTGAAGGTTACTAGTTGACTACGCATCTATACTTGAGTTTTTTCAATATAGACTGATGATAATTCTGAGCCATATAAATTCTTAAAATACAAGAATTTTATATATAAAAAGTTACATCCTGAAAACTGCCACTGAGAGTCTGTGATAACGATAATGATGGTCTTGGGAACATGGAAGTTTAGTGTGTTGTTTATGTTTAAACCCAGAATTCTTCTGACCAGAGCAAGGAAGCCCTGAAAGAAATACAGAAGAAAGCAGACACTGTCTGCACTGCAGTGTTATTGTATGTATTGCTACAAAGTCTGACAATAAAGATTAAATATACAGAAAAATAAAAGATAAATCTGTCCAATCAGTCATTTCCCAAAATGGCTAAATGTATATATTGACTGTATAAACACATTTTCATGTCAATACATCTCAAGATTTGAACAAATTATTTATTAAAACAAATACAAATAAGTGATTCTTTATACATAGCTTTTGTTTCCTAGAGGATTTAGGAATATTCATTGTATCTAGCCAATGCTGGCTTATAATGAATACCTGGGCTCTAACCATCATTTATGCCTGTTCTTTTGTTACAAAATGCATCATCCACTAAGTAAGTCTTTAATCTTAGTGAATTCTAAACTTTTCCTGTTTCATGCTTCCTAATCTGTACAGCCCAGACAAGACTGTTTTCTAAGTAACAGCATATAAGTGATTAAATAATTTATCAGTTTAAATAATTTGTAGTCTTTCTGGTACATACCAAAGCCTGGTTAAAAATAACTTGGTTCCATTATTATGTATTGCTTGTGGAGTTCAACATTATTTCATTTTAGAACTATTCATTATATTATTATTATTATTATTATTACTATTATTATTATTTTATTGCTGTGTGTATACTTGTGTGATAGTTGTATAGACCTACAGGCACATGAGTACCTCACTACATGTGTGGATAAGGGATAACCTCCAGGAGTTGGTTCTTGCCTTCCACTGTGGAATGGTGGGATTCCATTCAAGTTATCAAATCTGTGTGAAAGTGATTTTGCTCATTGCTTCATTTCACCAGATATTACTATTTCTTAAACAGTGAAGAGTGAAAAAGCACTATCTTCCACTATGACCCATTCTGTTTTCTTGCAGCAACTAAGCATGGATTGATAAAATATGAGGTTCAATTTCTTTTCATAAAATCTTAAATAAGACAGGATAGGTTATCTGGAAAACTATTGTGAAGACATCATCATGTAGACTGTATTTGATGTTAGGTTAAACTTAAGGAGCAGGCACAACACAGCCTCCTAATCATCTGTCACGAAAGAGCTAAAGAGTCCTAGTGATTGCCTCACTGGTGCTCAGTAGTGTTTCAATTCTGTAAGCAAAATTCAACTTACTGCCACTCATCAGAGTTCTAAGGAAGCCTCAAAGCAAGTGGTTTTAAGTAAGTTAATGAGCTGCAAACATTAGAATACTACTTGATACTTGGAATTAAAAATCAACGTCATAATATAACTTGCATTCAAAATTACTCTTTATGTAGGAACAACTAGAGTATAATTGTGGAAGTAATATTAAGACTTCTAATATAGTAATAATTAATATTCTCTGTGTGTTTACCCTAGTAATTTTACTAAACTATTTCCACATTTGAATATATACATCATATAATGAAGACAGTTTATCTACTGAGAAAATGGCACAATTTCTTCAAGGTCATATAGAAAATTGACTTGGTGACCAGAGCTGGAAAATAATATTCACTAAAATTATTTATTGAAAACCCATTGTGCATATGACTTATTTTTTATTTTAAGCATAAAGTGTGTATAGCTCAGGTTGGCCAGAAATACATAATTTAGATGAGACTCTTTTCAAAGTCCTGATATAACTTGCATCAGTTTCCTCATTTTGGTATTGAAGGAAACCATCTGAGGCTTCTCATATCATTGTTTTACAAAATAGGGCAAGTCAGGTTAAAATATCTATACAACCAAAAAGTCCTAATGCAGCATGGTTGAGGGATGTAGCTGTGGTTTTCCACTAATGTTTGAACTGTTTATTGATTTGTGTATTGAATATTGTTAAGTCTAAATTTATAGAAGCACTAATGATCAGTTATAACAATCAACTATAATTGTACTAGATTAATTATAATTAGTAAGTTGTTGAATGATAGATGAAATAAGTCATTTGTCTACATAGAGCCATCCCTAAGTATCCTAAACTATTTATGGCCAAACTTTACAGTTCTGGCTTTGGCAGCAGAGTAACCTGGTGCCTTTTGTTCTATGACATAAGTACTTCAATTGATCCTTGGACTCTTCTCTGACAGTCATGTCTTCTTGAATCTAAATATCTCTTCTTGAAGACTTGAGTGTCTTACCAGCAGGTCCTGATGCCCAATTTCCTCTGCTTCGTCTGAAATATAAACTATTCATCATTTCTGAAATTATTGAACTTCTACTTTACTCAAGGCTCAGAGTGCTTTGATTACCAAATGAGTATGGATCCAATATTTTCCTGATTTCATACTCTAGTCAGAAAGACTAGACTAGTGTGTTGGGAAAGGGAAATGAAGGCTTGTTGTCTAGTAAAATATAGTGAACCTTGTTGATAAGACTTTATAGATGTTCCCAAGGTAATTGTCAAACTAACAAGTCCAATTATATGAATTAAAATATATTGACATTTAGTATTTTAACCTTGAGGTTTTCTTAAAATATGATTCATATTTTGTGATATGTGTCAAGTTTATTACATATACTGTATATATCTATTGTAATATACATTGTTGTATATATTACAACACTGTATATATCTAATAGTGTGCTAGGAATGATGAAGCAGGACTATGATGCCAGCACTTCTGAGATAGAGGGGGGAGGATAAAGAGTTTATAGCCAATATAGGCTACACAGTGAGTTTGAAGCCAGACCCTGCCTCAGGGAAAAAATACATATATATGTACATATATGAATAATAACGTGGGGAGAATGATCCATGAAAATAATTTGTTACGAGCTCTTCTGATTCCAAATAGTAAAATATACTTATTGTTAAGTTTAAATATCAGTGATGTATCAAAGCATAAAAGATATACATGCTAATGTATTATGGAATGTCATGTAATGGTGTACACATTTCGTGAGGTTAAATAATCTTAAAAAATCTATTTTTTCAAATGTGTATTATTGTGGTAAAGCCTTCAGTAACTTCTTTCTCTGTATTTGGAAGTGCACAATGCATTATCATTAAAGTCACATTACAGTGCAATTACCTACCCCTATTTATTCCTCTTGTCTAACTGTAGTCGAATACATAGATGCCTTTAACACTTTCCTTGTTGTCTGATCTTTACCATCCACCTTGTATCTTTTAGAATGCCCAAGTTTTAGGCTGCTCATCTAATTTTGGCCAAGGTTTTCCAAAGC